CTCTTGGTCCTGTATACTCAGTCACCAAACTATTCAGGGACTGAGTTTTCCCCTTAATTGTACCTTCAGAACAAAATTTTCATCCAGATTCATCCAGACACTCTCCTTTCCCACTCCCCATTGCTATTTCTACTGATAACTGCCCTATAATCTCTTCCCTACTTCCTCTCAACCTCATCATCAGATGGTCCAATAACCACCCTTCTGCTCTTGCTTTGTGTGTAACAAATTGTGTACTCAAAACAAACCACTCTACGTGACAATAGTAGCCAACAGTAGTAATTTCAAAACAAAAAAAGCATTTCTTTCAGTCTAAAGTTCTCTAATTGTCTGACTCTGAAAAGCTGCTACAAGGAAGTGCCAATTCATAAACTTCAACTGTGATCATTTAAGTGCAAGGTTAGTAACTTGAAAGAATCATAAATCAGAAAAGACATCTAAGAAGCACAGAAAATAATTTATGCTTTAAAAAATAATCCTAATCTCTCCTTGAAAAGATCCCATTTATTTCTTAAGGAATCTAGATCTACATTAAGACGCTTGTTTCATTTGAAACTGGTCTTCTTCTGCCACCAAGTGTTAGCAACCAGTTTCTGCAACGTTTAAATCACAGAAAGACAGGGTCACTCAATGAGAAAAATAAGCCCAAAAGAATGCACTTGTTCAGCATGGGGCTGAACAAGTAGTAAACTAACCATGTGAAAAATATATATACTCTAAGGACAGTAGACAAATAACTGTTACTATGTCAGAGACAACATAATTTAATAAGATTTTTGAGGCTTCATTCATTTGATGAAAAAAACCCTGTAACTTTGAAAGCACAGTGATAATCAAAACCGCTTTAAAATACACAACTTTCAATACTCTTATGTGATATACCCACTGACATTTTATGAAACTAATAATATGCAAACACAACACATTAAGTAAATGCCTCCTGGTGTTAGAAAAATACATAATTGCCAAGAAAAGTCTTATGTTTCCCAGGATCTGGGTTAGAACTCAATGCTCTAGCTTGGTAACCAAAATACCATGTGTAACAGTGGTTCCTTATCAGGAGAACTAAAGTAGAGTTTCTATATTTTCAAAATTCTGAACACAATCTATAGAACTTTTGATTAACCCACTGGGCTTTTGCTTGCTTCTACTGAATGGTCTGATGATAGGTGCCTACAAGTGAACAGTATCCCAGAAGCCCAGGGACTTCTGCAGCCAACACTGACCACCACCAGGAAATTCTCACACTAATCTTTATGACCAGCCCAGGGGTGGTGAACACTCATCCCTGCACCAGACACTGTCCACATCTTTTAAGTCAATGAGATGTTTGACCTTCAGGAACAAACCAATTATGGCTCCAACTTGGAATCCTTTTTTGTATATCAGCATGGATACCGGCTTTTTAGGTCATTAAAAAATGGCACATTAGATGGTGAAAAAAATCAAATGAAGTACTACTACAACATCATTATACCTCCTGTATATAATAATGAATGGATCATCTATCTTACTACCCCCACACACACACACCTTGCACAGTCAAAATCCACATATAACTTTGAAATCCCCAAAACTTTTAACTTCTCTTAGCCTACTCTTGACCAGAAGTTTTATCAATAACGTAAACAGTTGATTAACACATATTTTGCATGTTATATTTACTATATACAGTATTTTGACAATAAAGTAAGCTAAAGAAAAGAAAGTGTTAAGAATATCATAAGGAAGAGAAATATACTTACAGTATTAATTGAAAAAAAAAAACCTGTGTATAAATGGATCCGCATAGTACAAGTCTATATTGTTCAGGGGTCAATGGTACATTTATTTCTGTTTTAAAGGACCAATACGCATGTATATGCACCTGTATAGATTTGCAGTGAATAGGAAGAGGTCAGGAGGATGGACTAGTAGTGGTAACCTACAGAGAAAAATTATATTGGGAGAAAGGGGAAGGCAGGGCACTGAGGAGGAAAAAATTATATCTTTCACTCTATAGGTTTGTTGCATTTGATTGTTTACAGTGAGCATATATTCACCTAATATTTTTAAAACTAAAATAGCTTGCAATGTGAAAAGAGTACTTGAAATGAGACAAACTTCCTAATATTTGAGTGAAAATAAACCTATTTTTTCACACACTTTCTCTCTCCTTTTATTTCATTCTAAACCTAAACAACACTGAATACTAGCGATACATCCCATCACTGACTTTATCAATGGCCACTCCCTTGTAAATGAGTAGACCAGGATAAAATCCCAGAAGACCATTAGTGCTGAGAGATGGGAACAGACAGTGGGAAATGCACAAAAGTTAAGAAGAAAGACCAAACAGTCACATTTTCAAATAATCTGCATTGCAAATGACAGAGCATAATAAAAATCCACTTTTATGTGTATGCCACCTTTTCATATTGCTTTTCACTTTTACAGTGGAACCAATGATTTGCTACATAGAGAAAATGCTTGACATTTATTTAAGACTGCAAGTCTCAAGAGTATACAGGATGTCCTCAAATAATATCATTTTGGAATAATGTCCATGAGATGCCACAGGAACTTAACTCTTGTTTATATCAGTTAGGGTAAAACTGGTTTCATTACACCTCGTTTCGCCGAAGTTCCAAGAACCTATTGCTGACGTTCAGTGAGGACTTATTGTATTACACACAGATCCTCTGGATCAGAATCACCCATGGCACTTACTAAACATCAAAAGTCAAGGTCTTTTTTTAATTTTATTTATCTTTATTGTTGAAAGTATTGCAGATGCCCCCTTTTCATTCCCACTGACCCCTTCTAGCCTGCACACACACACACACACACACACACACACACACACACACACCCCGCCCCAGGCCTTCACCACACTATGGCCTATGTCCATGGGTTATGCATATATTCAAACAACTTCTTTGGCTGATCTTTTCCCACCCGGTCCATCTAACTCCCGATCTGAAGTAAGAGGGTGGAAATCTGCAGCTTCACCAAGCATCCCAGGTGACTCATGAATCCCAACGTTTAAGATAGAACTTTCTTAAGCATTCAGAAACACTGAACATCATAGTAGTAACCGGAAAGCAATCATTTCATAGATTAGAAGACAATATTCTTATTTGGCTTTCTGAAAAAAACAGTAAGGTCATACATACTTTATTTTCTAAAGATGAAGCATTCTAACCGAAACAAAATCCAACCTAATTTAGAGTTTATATACCACATAAGCAAGGACTGCTTCTATTTTGATCATAACTCAGCCCAGCACCCAGTATCTGGCAGATAGTAAGCCCTCAATAAAGATCTGTTAAATTAATATGATTTGGACCAGATTGCTCCTCACATATATAAATTAATTTGGATAAAATGGGTATGGCCAGTGGGAGGGAAGAAAATGAGACTGAGAATGAGATAAGATGGATTCTACACAGGGCTCTGCAACTAAGGAGAATATGATCTCATTTCTGCCACTTAACCTTTCTAAGTCCCATTTCCTTTCTGTAAAGGAAAGGAGCAGATCCCGTGAAATTAACTGCCAAAGAATCATTTCAATTCAGTCTGAAATATTGAAATTGAGATTCTAGAGGAGTCTAAATATTCCTCTGATAAATGTGCTTGGGTGCTATCATTTCAAAGTTAATATTGTAAAGACAGAAACACTTTGAAATGTGGATTATTACCTTCACCACTGATTTGTCATTCTGTGATTAAGTTTGAAACCACTGGGAAGAGGGTAATCCATTTGAAAGCAAAAAAAGGAAAGATAACAAGTAAAAAAGTAAACTGTCAGTCTATAAGTTGTGTCAGTTGTTATCATTCCAAATTTCAAAATCTATTATTTACACAACAATTTTTTACCAAAATAGTCTAGAATGGCACCTAATATAGTTAATATTAAATGTGGGGCATAGTTAGAAAAAAAAAAACCCAACAAAACAAACATGCAAGATTTCTTTTTGAGAAGAATTTTACAATAGTTTATAGAAAACTCATAACCACAGAATGGTCAATCACTTAAACACATGTTTTAAAGGACCAAAGAGACTTTCTGAGCACAGACAATAAATACAAAATGTGCCAAATTTAGAAAAAAAGATCCACTTACTAATAAACATGCCCTTCATTTATAGAGCTGCAAATCAGTCTTAACTGCAGCCAAGGGTCATGGAAAGCAGGAGTGAATACTAACCTGCATGGCCACCTCCACAACTCTGGTATATCAGAGCAGGTGAGCAGATGTCTTAATGTGCATGAGCAACTCCCTAGGCTACAATGGGGAAAACAATGAAGGGTGCCCTTCAGATTCCAGGAGAAATGCTCGTGAATCCAGAAGAAAGTCAACAATTATCCTGACCTCTGAAGGAGAGGGAGTGGCATGCGAAGGCAGAAAGTCACCCTGTGACACGGGATGTCAAGACACATGTCCCTTGGCTTGCGTCACTGTTGACCATCTTCAGGGAGAAGTACTTTTAAGTACAAGGTTTCCCACAATTACTCTCTTGCCCCATCCCAGGAGCACTTGCTCCAAGCCCTCAATGGAGACAGCTATTGGAAACTTTAGAAGAGCTCTGTAGACTGGGTTAAAAAGCTTGTCCTCTTGAAAAACCCAGTTGCAGTGAGTAGCACCAGTGTATGCAGGTCAGTGAAGGAAGCTTTGATAGCAGCAGGCTGAAAACAACAATTAGCAAAGAAAGCAAAAAATAAAACCTTGGCACTACCTCAAGGCCCTTTGAGGGATGAAGCAGGCGTGGCAATAGACAAAGAAGCAGTGAGTGTTGGTCACAGTATACAGCCAAGAGCCACGCTGTCAAGGGAGGGAACATGTAGAACAGCCTCCATGGAGGCTCATGAGCCAACTTAGCATCCCTGGGAAGTAGACCCAGGAGCAATAATAGTAAGCAGGGTGTCAAAACCCACCACAGATGTCATTCATGCTGCTGACCATGCTTAATGCTGGTGTAGCCAGTAAAACAAGGTTTGCAATACAAATGGCCACTCACCGCCTTCCGGAGCCATGGTACTTGGGACAATTTCATGAAGGTCAAATGAGGCTTAAAACTTCTGCTTTCTCCTGCCAAGATGCCTTTTTCTTGAAATGTCCTTTTTGCAGCCTCTGAAGGAAATAAAAAGAAACACAAAAATGTTACTATAACACATGGCTTTCTTTATAAAAATGGCAAGTAAAAAAATAGCAAAATATTTTATAATAAAGATTATTTTATATATCTATGATTTTTAAAATATTTTTTATTGATTTCAGAAAGGAAGAGAGAGGGAGAGAGAGAGATAGAAACATCAATGATGAGAATCATTGATTGGCTGCTCCCTGCACGCCTCCTACTGGGGATTCCAACCGAGGCATATGCCCTTGACCAAAATTAAACCCAGGACCCTTCAGTCCATAAGCCAATGCTCTATCCACTGAGCCAAACCAGCCAGGGCTATGATATTTTTTTAAAAAAAAAAGAGAGAAAAACAATGTACATGATAAACATATCTATGACAGTTAAATCTGCAATAATTTCAAACATTGGGTAAAACACACAAAAGCAATAATTCGAAAGAGAAACATTTAATAAAGTAACTGACTGATAAGATGCTAACTCACTGATTATACCAGTAGTGTCCAAAGGTATAAAAAAGGACTAGCTGATCTGTGCCCTTCATCTAAAATTTCTGCTTTGACCAAGATGGAAAAACAGGAATTAGATTTGCTCTCCCATCTGAAACAACCAATAAAAGGACAACGTATATGAAACAAAGGTTTGCAAGACACTATATCCATCAAGAAATAAAGGGCAGTGGCCTCTGAGAGATGAGAAGCAAACAAGATGAGCCCGACTGCCCAGCTTACATCCTTGAGTGTCTAGGTCTTCATGCAAGGAGAATAGAGCCCAGTCACCTCATTGGTTCAGGAAAAAGAGCTGAGAGTAGGCATCTGGAGCTCCCAGAGCAGAGAACTGGAGAAGTGAGACTTACACAAAGTGAAAACTCCAGAGATCTGCAAAGGGTCCCCCTTGAGTATTTAGCTGAGCATCGATACCAGCACATACATGTGAGCAAACTATGGGGGGCATGTCCTAAAACACCCTTCATTGCAAATCACTGCCGCCAAATGATTTTTCTTCTCTCTTCTATGGCAATAGAGAAGGTTAAGCAAGAGACTGTTTAAATGCCAAGAAAACACTGGTTCTCAGTTGTAGACAGTTTTGCCGAGTTAAGCAGCAACAGACCTCATGGAACATGGAGGACTAGAGTACCAGACTGGAAGGCTATGACGTCAAGATGCCCAAAGTACAAAGGAGAACAGGTCCAGAGACACCACAAGGTCTTCCATCGGGCACCACTGAAACCAGGCACAGCCAAGGGCTAGAAATGCTGCCATCAGCCTCAGACTGATGGTAGCTAGCACTGATGACACAGCCCATCTCGAGAATGGATTCTGCACGGTTCTTTTTTGTCAAGTTACTAGCTTCTGATTCAAAGTCTGAGCCAAAGCAAGATCATCTTCCTGGCACCAAAAGAATCTATGAAAGAATGTGCCTGACATGGAGATGCTGGGAAAGAGTTTAGATATTGAACAGCCAAAAAAAAAGTCAACAGTCTAGGCATACATGTGTTTTAAAACAATAAGAAGTATATTCAGGACAAGTACTATTATAATTAACTTATCAACTTTTAGCTCATATAAATTACAAGCAGGTATATCTTTCCTCAATTTGGCATATTCTCAACTGTTTTAAATAGACACAGAGTCAAAATATTAGGCTGATTCATACAAAAATTGTCTTCTTTATGAGTCAAAAAACAGTCAAACATTGGCAATGTCTGATGGCTTAACATATACCATGGTAAACCAACTTATTAAGTTCCTAACATCTGAGTGAAGGAATTAGGGAACATTTTCCAAGCTTCAAGTATTTAAGGAATTATAACATAGATGAGTTACTGATAGAATTTACCAATATGTTCATAGCAACCCAGAAAAAGCATGAAGATATAAAAGCAAAAATTCATTTATTCAATTATGTTCTGAGCAGTTCCTATATATGCCCGGCACATTATCTGTTAAAGTCAGCAAGCACATCCCTGCTTTCATGGAGCTTGTAGTCTCACAGGACAGATTTCAGCCCAATGAAGAGGAGGACTTAACAATATTCAGAATTGTCAAAACATGCAAGAGCTCTGGCTGATGTTCAGTGATTAAAGGATTGGCCTACATACACCAAAGGGTCGAAGGTTAGATTCCTGGTCAAGGGCATGTACCTGGGTTGGAGGTTTGATCCCTGGCCCCAGCTGGGGCACATTTGGGAGGCAACCAATTGATGTGTATCACACCAATGTTTCTCTCTCTCTTTCTCCCTCATCCTGCCCTCCCTTCCACTCTCACTAAAAAAAATCAGTGAAAAAAATATATACTCTGATGAGGATTAACAACAACAAAAACATACAAGAGATATCATGAAAGTAAAACAGTAGGCATCTGTATCATTTATTACTATCTACATTAGTTTTACATATTATTTGATTCCAAAGAAACAGCATTTTTCAATCTATTGGTCAAATGTTGACTCAAGAGTTTTCATTATTGACTGAAATCATGGATGATGGATATCTATTAATAATGCTGTTTTAAAAAATATTGTCACAAAGCACATTTAATTTTTATTAATGTGTTTTTCCCTGTACAGCATATGCTCTAGGTACATAGGAATAGGGAAAGAGGAAAAAAAAGGATGCCTGCTTTTGGAAAAGTACACCTTAGTATTGATTTTATATTCCTAATAACAGTATAATCTATTGCTTAGCCAGAGCACTGGGTAATAGTTATAGAAATTCTATTCTTGAGATAGGAAGAGTTTTTGCTAGTGTGAACACCACATGTCATTCTTCATCTATGTTAGCATATTCTGGAAGAGAAGCTTATGAATAATTTAAGAGATTGTTCAATTCCTTCTAGTACCACAGACATTCCTTCAAGCACTAAATAGAAAATCACAGTGCAAACACATCAGATATCCTAGATATCCTTCACAAGTCAGCTAAGAATACTTCCTAAATAATACAATTTACCTGATAGCTAAAGATAAAAATTGTCTGAAGAACAATTTCTTAAAATATATTTTAAGCCCTAACCAGTTTGGCTCAGTGGATAGAGCGTCAGCCTGCAGACTGAAAGGTCCTAGGTTCGATTCCGGTCAAGGGCATGTACCTTGGTTGCAGGCACATCCCCAGTAGGAAGTGTACAGGAGGCAGCTGATCGATGTTTCTCTCTCATCAGTGTTTCTAACTCTCTATCCCTCTCCCTTCCTCTCTGTAAAAAATCAATAAAATATATTTAAAAATATATTTTAATAGTAATAGACTTCACTATATAAATGAACACTGCAATAAATAATTTATAAAGAAACAATACTTTTGTTATCCTAACAGTTTCATTTTATCTAGGTGGTTTTTTGAGTGTGTGTTTTTTGTTGTTTTTTTGTTTGTTTTTTCATCTATTCAACAAATATTTATTGAGCATGCCCGATACTGGGAAGTTTATCTGTTTTTTAAGATAGGTAGGTAGGTAGATAGATAGATAGGAAATTTATTCAGGTAAACTCTTTTAAATACGTAGCAACTATAAATTTATACCTTACATGCAAATAAATTGCTAGATATTGTCTCAAAGTAAACTATAACATATCAATTTTAATACAATAATGTATTTTTAATTATATACACTTTCTTGCAAAGTAAATATTTTTTCTCCTTTTTCCCCCTTTTGTCATTATCTCCCCTTTTTAAAAATTTTGAGGGTGTTTATATGATAGCATGATGAATAACTTGAGAATAATCACAAAGAGGTTTATTTTTATTGAGGTATACAAAGAGATTTATTAATAAGAATAGTCTAAAATACTAATGTAAATTAGGTGGTCCTAGTTCTTTTTTTCTTTATTTTTAAAATTTTTTTAGAGAGGAAGGAAGGGGAAAGGGGGGAGAGAGAGAGAGAGAGGGAGAGAAAGAGAGAAAGAGAGAGAGAGAGAGAGAGAGAGAGAGAGAGACATCAATGTGAGAAAAATACATCCATTGGTTGCCTCTAGCACACACCCCGACCAGGGCTGGAACCCACAACCTTCCCATGCACGGGATGCTGCTCCAACCAACAGAGCCACACTGGCCAGGATGGTCCTAATACATTCTTAACTATATATACTGTGTGTCCGTATGTGGATACAAGAGAAGTAATATGTTAGATTTTAGTTTTAAAAAGACTGATTTGTGATTAAACAATACACCATACATTAAAGATGGTAAGTTCTTTCCATGCTTTCCAATTGGGAGATGCTTTCTAATATCACTGTAAGATACAGTAAAGTTATGTCACATATAATATTTAAAACCTCAATAATATTTTAGAATAATTTTTTAGCCATCTAAAATTTTAAAGAAATAAAAACCATATAACTGTTCTTGTCATTCCTATTTTATTACTATTTAAAGGATTTTTATTTCCATATGCTGCTTAAACTGTTTCATTTTAAATGGTTTTAGTGAGTCATTTGAACTATATGCTTCAACATAAAGGCTGACATAATGTTGAAACCAACTTCAATTTAAATATTTTATATTCATCATTTAAAATAGATATGTCCAATTGATTGCTGTGTAAAAATGTCAAATAGAACTTTAAAACATTACAAGCAACTCTTAAAAATTATACCTTGATGCCAGAGGAATCACATTCATTCCATTGCAATTGACAAAAAAAAAAACAAACAAAAAAAAAACCCAGCTTGAGCATCCAATAACATTGGCCCAGTTTTCCTATTATTCAGCTCTGTTCTTGGACAGGTCATTTAACCTTAAGAGTAAAAGTGATGAGGTCCCTTCTGTCCGGTCCCTTCTTATCCTAACAACCAGCTAATCTAAGTGAACTGTCAGAGAGCTCTGGTACAACATTTGGAAGGGTTTCTAGACACCAGGACTGGGTTTGATTCTGATGCAAAGATTTATACAGGAATGTCATTGAGGGAAGAGAGACTATCCAAGGTTAAGTGTTCTTTCAATTAGACTTTTATGTTTATATCTAAAATTTTCCTTGGCTTATATATCTGTTAAAATACA